ACTGCTTCCCCTGCTCTGACCGCCCCATGGGCGGCCATGGGGCTGGGTGGAATGAGCATCTGCCCGCTCAGACTGAGTGGGGCCAGGCAGGTAGCCCGGCCTGGCAGCCGGGGCTGAGTGTGGCTCTGTTGGATGCGGGGCAGGGTGGAGGGATTGAAATCCTGCTGCTGAGCACAGCCCTGCAGGCCCTGGAGGAGACCCCAGCCTGGCTGTGCCACAGGGACGAGGCCTCGTTTCCTGTCTCATTACTTCCCAGGACCAGGAAAGTGCCAGACACCAGTAGGCTGCCTGGAGCATGAGTGGGAACGGGGGGGAGCTAGGAGATCCCTGAGCCAAGAGCTTCCAGGGGGCGGCTGGCCAGGTCCTGGGCGTGTGCACCCCCTGCTCTCCCCTCCCACCTGCAAGGAGACCCCAAAACTCCCAGCCCTGCTCTCACCACTGACCCTGGGTTTGTTACAGTTGCAGACAGTCAATGCTGCGCAGCCCCTGTCTCCACTGGGCCGGCTTAGGAAGCTGAGAGGCCAGGAGCCGGGCACATTGGAGGTTCCACCCACTGGGGGTTGCTGTAGGCAGGAGCAAGGCCCAGCTGGCACTGTTTCCCCCCCGGGTGAGAGGGGAGGGGAAGTAGCCGGGCAGGAGGGACCTGGCTGGGCTGAGGACTAAGGGAGAGGCAGGTTCTCTTGCTGGGGCTCCTCCTCTTGGCCGGTGCCAACATGCTCACCCTCTCTTGGCAGATCATGCTGGGGCACGTTGATGCCTGGCGTGGGGCTGGCACAACCCTGCCCTCCTCCGAGGCTGCGAGTACAGCGGGGAGATGCCATTGGCCAGACATGCTATGCCGGGCAGTGCTAGCCAGGAGCTGCTGGAATTTGCACTGAATTTTCACAAGGCAGAGGCTTGGGGAGGGAGTTGCCGGGGCTGTTCCTGCACTGGCCACAGGGGCTCACTATCGAGCCTTGGCCAGGAGCCTGGGATGCCTGCTCCCCCCACCTGCCCCCTGGAAACTCTAGTGGATTTATCAGCTCTGCTTCCCTCCTTGGCTTTGACCATCTCTGGCCTTTTACTGCCACCTCGTGGAGGTTTATGCAGCCCAGGCTCCGCCGTGCAAATGCGTTGCATGCAGCTGGCACGAACCAGCCTGGGGTGGATGCTGGCCTGGCAGGTGCCAACCTGTTCCGTGCCTGCGGAGGCCGGGTGGTCCAGAGCCGGCACTGGGCATAAGCAGCCTAACAATTGCTCAGGGCCCCGGGATGCTCAAGGGGGGCCCCCATTCACTTTTTATTGTGTGTGTGTGGGGGGGAGGGGACACAAAATATTCCTGCTTAGGGCCCCCAGTAGGCTAGCGCTGCCTCTGGGGTGGGCCCTGGTGTTACAGGACTTTAGGGCCTGGGGTTCAGTTCCCCTCTGTGCTACTGATGCCCGGTGTGACTATGGGTGATTCCTTTAGCCTCAGTTTCCCAGCTGTAGAGTGGGGATAACAGCCCTGCCCTACCTCCTGGGGGCTATGAGCATAAACCCTATAAACAGTGTAAGGTGCTTGGTCCCTATGGGGCTGGGGCCAGATCAGAACCCAAGACGGCCAGGGAGCTGGAGGCGGCTGGTGCCGCGGTCACAGCCCTGGAGAGTGTTTGTGGCATAAGCAGCACCAGGCGCGATTCCCCAAGGGCACCAGCCCCACCCCTGGCCTTACCTGGATCAGCCTCCTCCCGCACAGGTCAGGAGGAGGCACCTTGTGGCTCGCAGCCCCGTTTGCCACAGCTCCAGGCCACTCTGGGACCTTCCCAGCGAGGACCAATGCAGGGCAGTGAAACACGGAGCCTCCCACATGCTGTCCCCGCTGCTGGGCTTGCACGGGGGATAAGGAGCCGGGCCCCCCGTGCATTACTGTGGCTTGTCGGTAACAAGAGCATGTGTGGCTGGAGCCAGAACGTGCTGCGCCCCCTTAGCATCACCTGACTGAATCTGGCTCTCCTCCAGGCAACAGGGAGTCTGTGCTAGCGAGTGACCCGGGCGTTCGCCCTGGGGGAGCCTGCCCGTCCCTGGGCACCAAGTGTCTGTAAGCGCTTGGAGCAGGGGCAGTTGGTGTCAGCCTAGCTGGGGCGTGAGCCCTGCTGGTGACAGGCACATGGTGCCTGGGGTGGTTTGCGGAGAGTGGAGGGATCCCAGGTGCTGCTCTGCTGGCTGGATCTTTGGATGCTTTTATGACCCCCCTCCCCCACCCCAGTCTTCACCACGTGACTCCATTTCAGCATCTGTTCACTGAGGGGCTCGAAGGGAGAAGAGGGTCTTGGGCCAAAGGAACCTGCTCAGCTCCCTCTCCTCCTCTATCCCTTCCCTCAACTCTGAGCTCCCGCCCTCCCTGCCCCAGGGACTCACCTGCCCCACCACCATCTCCTGCGTGGGCACTGCTGCCTGTCACCCCCTGTGTGGTATTCTCCCTTCACTGGGTGTCTGTGGTCTCAGCCTGTGCAGACAGCAGAGAGAAGCCAGCCTAGTGAGGGAAGGATGGATGGACAGGATCCCACACCTGGCTCCCTGTTCCTTTCAGGATCCAGCTCAGTCTTGTCTTCAGCCCCCATTCCCCAAACTACCTCCCGGACCCTGTCTTTACTCCTTTCCCTGCTCCCTCTGCCTTCCCAGCTGGTCTCGGTCCTTTCACCTCACCCCACCCTCCTGGTGCGAGACCCTTCTCCACCACAGCTCCTATCACCTGCAAACACCTCTCCGCATCTGCTCTTCATGCATCAGCTCTAGGCCAATCCCAGCTGACAGCTGCTCTCATCCCCTCTCTCCTCTCAGCACTGGGAGGGTTTTCAGGGCATGTGGATCCCTGGGGAGGGTTTTCCCTGACCAAGCGAGGCCATAGCTGGGATTCAGCGACGGGACAGGATGCTACACCAGAAGGAAGCAGCCAGGTCTCCCAATCCATGTATCCGAGAGCTCCCAGCTAGTCCCAGTTCAGAGTAGGTGAAACAATAATAAAAACAGCGAGAAGGGAATTAATCAGGACATGAGCCAAGGACACGCTGTGTGTCTTTGTCATGTCTTTGCACTTGGGCCCTGTCTCAAGCCCCTCCCAGGGACAGCTGCCTGATGGCAGCTGGTTACATTTGATACAAGGAATCCCCAGGGCTGGAGCCCCGCTGGCTGAGCTGGGCTGAGAGCTGAGTGTGTTTTGCACATAAACGGAGACCTCTGTATTAACAGCCCCCGCCCCACACACTGCCCCTGTGGCCAGGCCCTTGCTGCTGGGCTCTCTCCCCAGCTACACAGGGTCAGGCCTTGGCCCGGCGTTGGGAGTCTGCCAAGGTGTGACTGACAGGAGCTCACTTCCCTCTAGGTCTGTGTTGGAGACTCCACCCGTCAGGTGTCTGTCTGGGGGAGGAGAGAGGCTTTCGCCTCCTTCCCCTTTGCTGTTTAAATTGGGTCTAGCTGAGTGTTTTACTTTCTGTAGGAGGAGAGATGAACAAGACTGTGACTTTCAGCTTGGAAAGGAGACGGCTAAGGGGAGATATGACTGAGGTCTATACAGTCATGACTGGTGTGGAGAAAGTACATAAGGAAGTGTTGTTTACTACTTCTCATAACACAAGAACTAGGGGTCACCCTATGAAATTAACAGGCAGCAGGTTTAAAACAAACACAAGGAAGTATTTCTACACACAACACACAGTCAACCCGTGGAACACTTTGCCAGAGGATGTTGTGAAGGCCAAGACTATAGCTGGGTTCAGAAAGAACTAGATAAATTAATGGAGGATAGGTCCATCAATGGCGATTAGCCAGGCTGGGCAGGGATGGTGTCCCTAGCCTCTGTTTGCCAGGAGCTGGGAATGGGCGACAGGGGATGGATCACTTGATGATTCCCTGTTCTGTCCATTCCCTCCGGGGCACCTGACACTGGCCATTGTCAGAAGACAGGACGCTGGGCTAGATGGACCCTTGGTCTGACCCAGTCTGGCTGCGCTTATGTTCTGCTTGCTGTCCCGCAGCGTTCCTGGGAGCTGCTACACACCTGCTGCAGCCTACCCAGAGACAGCTGCTTCCCAGCAATGGGCGAGCTCGTTCCCCTGCCTATCTTGGGCTCCAGGATTCCTTATCCTTCTGGGGACTGTCAGTAACCATGGTCATTGGGTGCATCTGACGACAGTTCCCCTTCCAAAGGTGCGATCACATGGTCACAGCACAGCGGTGAGGATGCTGGAGGAGCACCATGCACTGCGGTCTATAATGCCCACGCAGGGACAGGATGCGCTGGGGAACGTTGCCGAGGATGGACTGGCACCTGGAGCGTCAGATCTCCGTCTCACCCAGGGCCTCGCTGGCCAGCGGCTTGCTCCGGGTGCCAGCGTGCAAAGGGAGGGCCGCGTGCTCGTGGATCGGACTGGCTGCGTTTGGCCTTCTCTGTGCGCTGGTAGAAATGATGGCACAGGGGCCGACCTTTTTCCCAAGGGCTCAGCGCCCCCAGCGGGGGCCCAGTTCAGGGGGGCGGGAGGCCGGTTCTCAGGGGAATGTGGCTGTGTCCCGCTGCCGAGCACTGGGCAAACCTACCCCTTAGGTGCCTAAACGGGGGGCTCCCTGGAAAACGGCCTAGCGTGCAGGGCCATACTGGATCCGGCCCTGCCAGGGCTTTGACGCCCACTTGGCACCGGTGTGAGGCCGGCCGGCGGCACGGGGAATGGGCCACTCTGCACCAAGGGTAGGTTTAGGAGGTTTTTCTCCAGTCCAAAGGGGGATCAAAGTCTTGGTCCGCCGGGGGAGGGATGGCACCGCCCATATCACCCCTGCCAGCTCCCAGCCCTGCTCTTCCTTGTCGCTCCCAGGCTGGGCGGCAAACTCCGGGCCCGTCCTCGGAGGCGCTGGGGCTGTGCGCCAAGGCGCCCTGGGAAATGGAGTCCCGCTTCCTCGCCAAAGAGCCTCCTGGAGAGGCAACTTTGGGGGACCCCTGGACTACAACTCCCAGCAGGCCCTGCGGTCCCCCCCACCTGCTGTAGGAGCGGCTCAGTAACAGATCAAGGGGGGGGGAGGCATGTGTAAGTTTCATTTGCTTCCTTGTTAAATGCAGCTTGGAGCCGCCGGCCGGTCCGCGGCAGGAGACAGAGTGAGTCCGACCCAGCCCCCTGCCGAGCCCCCCGCGAACCCCGCTGCGGCCCCCTGCCGAGCCCCCCCGCTGCAGCCCCCTGCCCAGCCCCCGGCGAGCCCCGCTGCAGCCCCCTGCAGAGCCCCCCCGCGAACCCCGCTGCAGCCCCCTGCAGAGCCCCCGCGACCCCGCTGGGCCCCCGCCGAGCCCCCGCTGCAGCCCCCTGCCCAGCCCCCGGCCGCCCCGCCCCGCGAGCCCCGCTGCAGCCCCCTGCAGAGCCCCCCCGAGCCCCGCTGCGGCCCCCTGCCGAACCCCCCACTGCAGCCCCCTGCAGAGCCCCCCCGAGCCCCGCTGCGGGCAGGGCTGGGCTCCGGGCGCGCTGCGTCCGTGGAGACGCGAACCGCAGCGGTGGCGGCTGGGGGGTGGGAGGGACATTGAGCCCCCGGGGGGCTCCCCCAAGACTCCCGGTTCTGCCCCCCGCGGTCTCCCCGGCTGCCCCGGTCCCGGGTCGGAGAAGCGGGGTCTGGGCTGCCCAGGGGGCCCCTCGCTGGCCCTGCGATTGTCCGCCCGGGGGGTCCCGCGGCTCTCCGCGGGAGCGGGGTCCCGGCCGGCTCGGGGACGTTCCGCTCCCTGCAGGGACCGGCCGGCGCGGATTAGCCGGCGGGATTTGATGGGTTTCGCGCTTCGCTGGCGCCGGGACACGAGCTGTGCCGGGGATGCGGGTTTGCCGGGCTCCGCCGGAGCAGCGCCGCGGCGTTCCCGGCTGGGCTCCCCAAAGGCGCCCAAGGGAGTTGGGCGCCCGGGTCCCATTGGCTTGAAACCTCCCGTTGGCTGGCCCAGCGCGCAGGAACAGCAGCCCGGGAGCGATCCTGCAACGTGCCCAGAGTTGCGGGGGCTGAGATCTGCGGCCTTTTGGGGGCTGCTGATGGGGGGTCTTGGCTGGCCCCCGATTGACCGAGCAGAGCTGGAGTGCGTGGGGGGAAGGGCAGCCCCTGGGCCCTCCAGACAAGACGCTCAGCAGGAGAAGCGGTGGCCCAAGGGGCTGGTGCGATGCTCCGCGGTGCAGACGGGGGAGGAGTGAGCGGATGTGGCCGCTCTGTCCCGCACGGGTGAGGCGCATCCCCGATCCTGCGCCCAGTGCTGGGGTTCCCAAGGGCCTGACAAGGTGGAGAAAGGAGCCACAAGGGTTCCAGGGCTGAAGGAAATGCGGGGCAGAGAGACCTGCACAGCCATACACACCCGGCCTGGTGTACGGTGTAAGTACCTTCCTGGGCAGAAAATACCAGATCCAAAGGGCTTTGGAATCCAGCATAGGGCCCAGCAGCGGGAAGGTGAAGTCAGAGAAATTAGAAACAAGGCTCATGTTAGAGAGGCCACAGGTGGTCTGGCAAATACCCTGGGCCCCTCAGGCTCATGTTGTGAGCAGGGCGGATGAGGAACCACTGGAACAAGCTCTCCAGGGCACTGGTGGGTTCCCCGTCTCCTGGGGTCTGCAGACCCAGACTGGCAACTTTCTGGAAGAGGGGGGCTTTAGCCAGAAACAAGTCACTGGGCTCAGTGCAGGGGGAACTGCCTGAAGTTTGAAGGCCTGGGATGTGCAGGTCAGACTAGCTGATCTAATGGTCCCTCCTGGCCTTATATGCTGTGAATCTATGAAAACCTGACATGCCCCCACACTCGGCTGGGCTGAGATAACTTTGTCCCCTTGTCGATTGCATCTTGGTGTGCAAGGCTGTGATCAGTCCTCAGCGTGTCACGAGCCGTGTCCTACGTGCCTCCCTCATCCCAGGACAGTCAGACTCCTGAGCAGAGGACAAAGAGGAACCAGGAAGGCAGAAGTTGCCAATCAGCTATTCTGAGGCCACTAGAAGAGCGGGCGGCAAGGTCTGGGTTTCCCTGTTGAAAAATAGTTTTGTTGCAATGGTGCAACAAAAATGGTGCAAAAATTTTTTTTTTGGGGGGGGGGGATCAGAAATTAAACAAAGTGAAAGTTTTCGTTTAGTCTCATTAATATTTTTGTTCTGTTTCTGTTCCTGATGTTCAGATATTTGCCCCCCCCCCGTACTTTTTTTTACTGGGAAAAGGTGAAGAGTTGGTGAGGAAGGGGCTTTTCTCCTGCCCCTAGAATCTGAAATTGGAACCAAACCAAAAATCGCCCGGCGAGATGAAACTTTGTTTTGTTTCGATTTTGGGGGGGTTCAAATCCAGAGAATTTAGTTGAAGCATTTTTAATAAAAAAAATGGGTTTGAATGTTTTTGGCAGGAGACACTGTTGATTTGTGTGGCCCGCTCTCACAGTCAGGCAGGGAGCGGCGTATGGCCGGGGTGGGTCTGAGACTTGGTTTTGAAGCCCCGCGGCTTCCTGGTACCACAAGTGCCCATTCTCATCCTGCCTGGGCATTGAGATCCCTGAGGCTTTGCCTCAGCGTCTCCGCTCAAATTTGCAGTGACCCAGGGCGAAACCTGGACAGCTGAGCACTTGGCTTATCCATCCGTGCTCCAGACCACAGTGTACAGGGTGCGGGTTGGGTTATATCTACCCATGTGCCACTCTGCGCAGGCATCTGGCTTAGAGTGCCAGTGAAAGGTGAGTCACGGGGGCGCGTGGGCCTGACCCCCAGCTCAGCCGGGTCAGAGGAGCAGGAGGGATGGGACATGATGTCCAGTGGGGGACTCGGGGAGTGTGGCGAGAAACCACTGCTGGGAAAAGCTTGGGGTCTGGGCTTCTCTGCCCCCGGGCACAGCCCTGCTGTGGCTAGTGAGCGTTAGCCGTTATTGTGGTGGTGGTGCCCAGGCACGCAGCAGGGATGCAGACACCAGGGCTGCCCTGCCCACTGCGGGCTTGACTCATCCCTGCCCATGCAAATGCCCTGGCTCTGGCTGGTTTGGCTTCACCCACTTTACAGCCCCATAAGCCGCTGCAGGAAGTACATTGCCAGGCGGGTTCCAAATATCCCCTTTGGCCTGGTGCCTCCCAGCTGTGCTGGGGGAAGATGGGAGCGATGGCTGGGCCTGCCCTGAGGGATGTTCTGTACGGTGCCCAGCCACCACCTCGGCTTCTCCCCACGGGGCAGGTGGCGATGCCTGGAGCTGAGTCTGTAGCTTGCCCTGGGCCTGAGATTCCCCCGGGGAGCCGTGTGCGCTGGTGTCCGTGCCAAGGCTCTGGATGGGTGTCTAGTAATGGCCCGTTTCCCATGCCCTGGAAGGAGGAGCAATGGGGCTGCCTGGCTTCAAACAGCAGCCCCAGGCCCAGTGTCCCCCATGGGGCTCAAGTGGGAGCATCTCCGCTCCCACCCTCCTAGCTGAGCTGGGCCGGATGAGGCTCCCCAGGGACCCCTCCTGCCGGTGCTGCCCCTTCACCAGCTAGAGGGGTCCCTGGGGTGCCCTGTGAGCCCCTTCCTGGCATCTGGGGGGCTCCTCTGGCCCCTGCGTCCAGGAGCGGCACCAATCTGCAGCTGTCCTGGCCCCATCAGCCCTGCCCTGGGGAGCTGGTGCCTCTCCTTGGCGCGTGGAGCCGGCTGCAGCCTGCCAGGACCTGCCGCTTGCGGCCCCACCCAGGCTCCAGCCACCTGTACAGTCCCCAGGAGTGAGGCAGCGTCTGGCTTGGGGAACGGGCGAGCCGGGGCCTGCCGTCTCCTCAGCACGCTCTGCTCCTGTCCGGGCTCCTCTCGGCAATGGCCACTGCTCCTGGCTACCTGTGCCCACTGCCGCCCTTCCGTTCTGCTTCCCCCACTCCCAGCGAGCCCAGCCTGTCCCCGGATCTCCTGCCCAGCCCCCTTCTGACACCATCAGATGTGGGCGGCTGCAAGCTGGCTGCCCCCAGCCCGCTCCCAGGGCGAGCCTCAGGCTCCAGCAGCAGCTGCGGGGAATAAATAGTCCAGCAGCCGCAGTCTGAAACAGCAGCCGGCGCCTTCCGAGGGGGCCCAAGCTGTCATGGCCCCTCCTAGCACGGCCATTCCCAGACCAGCAGGGGTGGCTGGGAGGAGCTGGGGTCAGACATGCCCCCAAGGCTCTGTCTGCCTGCTCCATCTTGCCTCCTGCTGGACACGTGCCATCGTTTGGGGCTCCTGGCTTGTGCCCCCCCGCCCCTGGTGGCCCATCTCTAGCCTGGTACGGCCTGGGACTCTCACACCGCTTTACAGGGAGCCTTGCAGCCCCCGCCGGTCGGGCAGCACCACCGCCTGATTTGACAGTCGGCAGGTAGAGGGAATGGGACTTGGCCAAGGTCATACAGTGAGTCAGTGCTGGCTGGGAGTAGAACCCAGGAGTCCGGGCTCCCAGCCCCCCTACTCTAACCACCAGTCCCCACTCCCCTGCCAGAGCCAGGGACAGAACCCTGGAGTCCTGACTCCCAGCCCCCCTGCTCTAACCATTAGACACCACTCCCCCCTCACACCCATGGATAGAACCCGGGAGTCCCCTGCCAGCTGCTGTAACCTCTGACCAAACAGTATCCCAGTAAAGGGGACCCCTCCCCGCAGGCCTCTGCACTCAGCCAGCGTTCACCCTCCTGCCCAGGCCGCTCTGTGGTGTGTTTGTTCTGGGCGTGGTTGGCTCTGAGCCGGGGAGTCACAGGGGCTGGCAAAGACAATGCCCATGTGAGGGCTGCTTGGCTCGGATCGCAGGGGTGCTAGGAAGTCACCTGGAGGAGAGAGAGGGCAGGGCTGGAAGTGAATGTGGCACAGAGAGGACTGTACAAGAGACCCAGGTTCAATCCCCAAGGCCGGGCTATCGTGCCTGGGGCCAGCTGGGGCAGGGAGCACCCCGTGATCCTGCAGTACCCCCTGTGGTGGGTCTAGACATGCCCCATGCAGATCTCCGTGGCCCAGGCTGCTCTCTGGAGGGGAGGGATGGAAGCACCAGAGCTGCCCTGCTTGGCCCCAGACGCCCTGGGAGCCCCTATGGGTTGCACCCTCCGTGCCGAGGTGGTTGAGGGCTCGGGGCTCGATTGGAGCTGCTGTCAGTGCGTCAGAGCAGGGTCCCGTTCTCAGGCTGCGTTAATCTGTCTGCAGGAGCCAGGCCAAGGAGCTGTGAGCGTGCTGACTCACGAACCCGCTCCCCCTCCAGATCTGGCCGGCCTGGGAGCCAGGACAGTGCCACCAGCCGGACCCCGGAGCCGCCGGCCTCTGAACCGCACGGTCTGTCTCCACGGGAAACCTGGGTGGGAAGGCGGCTTCTGGGCTCACCCCTGGGAGAGAGAAAGGCGTGGGGGGAGGGCTGGTAGACGGATGGGTGATGCTCCGTCCCTGCAGCGTCTCCTTTCCCCTGGGGGCCTGAGCCCTGTGCCGCACTGGGATCCCCTGGGGCCTGGGCCAGAGCATTAGCCCTGCCCTCCAAGTGGGCACTGTCTGAGCCTGCACCCAGCCCGTGCCCTTCAAGGGGGCATCATGCAGCGGCCCCCCTTGGCCCTGTGCCGGGGAAGCAGGAGGCTCCTGCCTAGCTCTGCAGCGGGCATGCGGTGCTTTGTGTGCAGCATCCCGCCAGCCCCTGGCCAACTTCCCCACCAGCCACTGGGCCCCGATGACACCACGGACTGGCTGGAGCAATGGGCCCCCACGGCAGTGGACCCAGCGAGGGCCAGGGGGAGTGGGCGCCCCGGAGGCAGCAAGGCCAAGAGGAGCCCACCATGGGAGGCAGTTTGCCCAGCTGCCAGGCCCAGGGCACTTCCTCCCGCCAAGGCAGTCGTCTCAGCGCCGTCATGATGGAGATGGACGTGCCCCAGAGCCCGTCTAGTCCACCCAGGCCCTGGGCAGGGTCATACTCCTGTCCCGTCCCTCGCTGCTCCTCAGCATCGGGAAGTTCTTCCTCAGGAGCCCCGGGGACCCAGCTGGCTCAGGCCCTGACCCAGGGTAGCAACCACAGCCTGGAGCAGGCAGGAGCCGGGAGCCCCCCGCCCCAGCCAGCTTCCCAGTCCCGCTATTCTGGTGCCTTACCCGTCCCGCCAGCAGACCCCGGCGTAGCCTGGAAGTGTTACCGAGTGGGCTGGGGTCTGACGGGTCGGACAAAGATCTAAGTCAGGGTTTGATGGCAGCAGAAATCACCGTCCCGAGAACCCCACCCCAGTGTCTCCTTCAGAATCCACTGCCAGGCCCTGGAAGCCAAGTTCAGGGTATCGGGCCGGCTTCTCAGGGGCCTGGGCAGCTGCTGCGGCCATTGCTGTGCTGAAATGGGGGGTGCTCAGCATTCTGGGGTTCAGGGGCCCCCTCTGCAGGTTCCTCAGGGGGCGTGCCCGGTCCCAGGGCGCTCGCAGGCCCACAGCAGTGCGTCCGAGAGCAGCCGGGTTGCCAACCCGCCAGGGATGTGCTAGGGTCCCTTGGAAGGGAAGATGAAGCCGTGAGGAGAGCTGACGTCAGGGCAGCTCTGCCGGGAAGAGCCGGCCCGGTTCCCATGGCTCAGTCACAAGGTGCAGGGGAAGTCGCGGGCGGTTTATTACGCGGCAGTCGTGGGCTTGGCAAACGCACCGGCAGCTGGGCCAGGCGGACGTGCTGCAGGAGGAAATGCTTTACATCCCCTGCCACCGCTGGCCGTTTGCTGCTCCTGCCCGCGCACCCCGGTGCTCGGGCGAGGACAGATCGCACAGGCTCGCCCTGGAGGAGTTAGCTCAGTGGTGTCAGCAGGTGCAGGGCCGGGGGGGCAGGGGGGAGGCTAGGAATAGCTCCCGCCCCTCCCCCACTAGCCCCAGCTGTCGGGGATCCCGAAGCAGCTCGACCCCGCAGGGCTCCCAGAGGGATGGGCGCGTCTCCTGGACAGGCCCACCCCCTTTGGCTGGGAGTTTCCCAGGGGGCTCCCCTGTCCCCACCCACTGACCCCGCTCCCAGCCTGGGAAGCCAAGGCACGAGAAGGGAAGCAGATTTTACAGTGGCACACAGTGGAGTCCTGGAGAATGAAACCCAGGAGTCCGGGCCGCCAAGGTGCCCCCACCCCCACTAGCCCCTGCTCCCCTCCCAGAACCCAGGAGTCCTGCCTTCCACCCTGCCTTGCTCTAACCACTAGGCTTCGGTGCAGGATTTCTGAATGGGGGCTGGGGAGGGAATGGCCCCACGCTCTGAAATTGGCAGCCCCCCCTTAGCCATCCTGTGCTCCCCTCCCTTCTTGCCGGCTGTCCTTTTGTGCGGGGGGAGCTCCTCCGCTGACAGTCCCTGCTCAGGCCGTGTGGGCGCTGTGAAGGCAGCCGGCTCCGTGTGACTTGGCCCCGATTCCCTGGGGGGGGACCCCAATCCTGACAGGTCCTGCGCGGCCTGCCCCTTGGTGGCCAGAAGTGGGAGAAGCTGCTGCAGAGCCTTGGGCAGGGCCCTGGCCCCAATGTGTGGAGCGGGTGTGGGGCAGCAGTGGGGCAGCAGTGGGGGCAGGCTCAGCCCGCTGCTCTGTGCCAGGGAGGCCTTGAGGGCGGGAGGCTGCGTGGTTTTACTGACCCTCCCGTGGTCCCTTTATGGCCGCAGACGGTGTGTTGGGGGAGCCGCCCTGCCTTGGCCCTGCGTGTCTCCCCGCGTGACCTGGCAGGTGCCCATCCTGAAGTGCCGGGAAAAGTACAGCCGGCTGGACTTTACTCCCGCTAGGGCGGGGCCCGGCTCTTCACAGCCATCCTGCCCCGGGATGCAGGGATAGAATCAGCGTTCCTTCAGGCAGTCGGGACTAGTGGGTAGAGCAAGAGGGAGCCTGGAGTCAGGGCTCCTGGGTTCTGTTCCCAGCTCTGGGAGAGGAGCAGCATCCAGCGGTAAGAACGGGGGTGGGGAAGTCAGGACTTCTGGGTTCTAGTCCCAGTTCTACCACTGACTGGCTGGTGGACTTTGAGAAGGGCATAGCCCCTCCCTGCCTCAGTTTCCCTGTGTGTAAATCAGGGCTCTCCTGGGAGAGGGATGCCTGAGGGCAGCACACGGGGCCTCACAGGGCATCTGGCCCCCTCGGGGCATTTCGCAGCCTGAGTGGGGAAGGCCAGACCGGGCTTGACCCGGACAAATGGAGCTGGTGAGAAACACACACCTGCAGCTGCAAATCCCAGGCTCCTTCCGGTCCCTGAAGAACCAACCCCCCTGCCTTGCCCACCAGAGTGAGACAAGTCCTAGCTCATGCAGCATCCTGGGAAAGGGGTTTGGAGCCTGGCAGCCCCACACCGCTGCCCCTTTGGTCCCAGAGCCCAGCTCAGCCCTGCAGGGCCCTTCCTGTGCCCAGGACGCTCCTGATGTGCAGCTGGGGCGGTGGGAGGAAATTGGGTCCCATTAACGCCTGCGAGGGGCTGGCTCTGCCAGCAGGTTCAGGTGCACCCAGGCTGTGGGGTAGCCCTGGGTGCTGTCTCAGGTCTAGCGATTTGATGGGGAGGGAACCATTGTTCATCTGGGAAGTCCCTGTGTGCTGGGCTGGGAAACAGCAGGCAGCCCAGGCTGGGATCCCTGGGTTAGCAACAGCCTTCTGCTCCGTATGGACCTGGGTCCTTCAGCACCGCTGGAGCTAAAGGGGCAGCTCCTTTATCTGGGCAGCAGTAGTAGACTGTTACCCTCTATGCTGAACAGCCCATGAGGTGGATACAAGATGTGTTTTACAAACTCCTGCATTAGGAGCTGGGCTCTGTCCTCCTTACTCCCGTTCGATGCTGGTGTCTCTCCAGATCTATGCTGCTGTAACAGGAGAATCAGGTTCTGTCTCTCAAGACTCTGGGCGGGGATTTATCAGGCTCTGATTAAATGAAGAGTGTGACGAAGTGGGAATGTTCTTAATGTTTCCTTTGAATAGTGTGGGGGTGCCTCAGTTTCCCCTATGCAGTTCTTAAATATCTAGGTGGTGGCGTAAGGGTGCATGATCATTGCAGAGCCCTAGAGGGCAGGTGTGTGCAGGGGTCTGGACACAGAGAGTGGCCGACACCCTGTTTCCTGGCAACTGATGGCCTGGGCCCTTCCCCCCCTGCAAGGTGAGAGCTAAAGGGTTGGAGAACAAAGGAATCAGGTGACCTCCTGGCCCGGGACAGGGACAAAGCCCAGAGGAGGAGGGGCTGGAGGGGGTTTCAGTTTGGGGCTGGCTGGGACATGGAGTGAAGTGCAGACGTGGTTGTCTGGCTCACCGCCCCCCAAAATGGACCCGGCTGAGGAGTCCTGTTCTCTGCACCTGCAAGCTCTGTGTTAGATCATGTCCCTGTCGTCTAATAAACCTTCTGTTTTACTGGCTGGCTGAGAGTCCCGTCTGACTGCGAAGTTGGGGGCAGGACCCTCTGGCTTCCCCAGGACCCCACCTGGGCGGACTCACTGTGGGAAGCGCACGGAGGGGCAGAGGATGCTGAATGCTCCGAGGTCAGACCCAGGAAGGTGGAAGCTGTGTGAGCTGTGTGTCCTGCAGACAGGCTGCTCCCAGAGAGGAGACTTCCCCAGAGTCCTGCCTGGCTTCATGGGGAGCAGTTCCAGAGCATCGCCCGGGGACTCCGTGACACCTGGTGGTAGGGGTGGGATCTACTGCACCCCATGGATGGCGCTTCCTGCAGTAAGTGACGGGGAGCAGTAAAACGAAGGGGGATTGACGAGGACCAGGCGTGCTGAAGGCTCAGAGAGGAGCGGTTTCGGGGGGCGGTTAACCCCTGGGAGTGTGTGACCAGCAAGAAGGACTGTGCAGTAACAGGGTTCCCCTGGGGATTGCAGCGAGCAGTCCAAGGGGCGGAGGAGTCTGCAGCTCGACCCTGGCAAAGAGGGGTGACCTCGAGAAGGGCTGGCACACTAGGGGTTCTCCCTGGAAACCGTGGGGAGCTGAGAGCACACAGGCCTGGGAGTCCACAACAACTTGGGAAGAGCGGAGTGACGGCCTGTCACTGTCTCCTTAAGAAGCACATTGTAACCCTGTGCAGAAAGAGAGGGTTACACATTGGGAAGTTCACCAAGGCAGAGTTAATCGTGCAGCTGGAGGAGGATGACGGCTCTAAGGAACAGATTCCTGACCCCAAATGGGGCTATAGCAGGATCTGGGAGCAGCTGGAATAGTAGCCAGGCATCCCCAAGACTCCTGTCCCCGACCAGACGAGGGTCTTCACAATCGGGTTCCCCATCTGGGGATCGGAGATGGACGGGATTGGAGCTGAGTCCGAGAGAGCAAGAGGACTGTGGGAGACAGCGAGAGCCCGAGAAAGAGCTGCAGAAGCAGCAGCAGCATGAACTGGCGGTGG